ACAGTGCGACCCTTTGGCTGAGTTTTGCAGGAAGTTTAGAGGTGTGTCAGACTTACAAGGTTTTGATAGGGCATGTTAAACATAGAAGGCAGCATGTTCAAAGGCTTGATGGGGAAGCTGGCATGTATGGGTAATTATAAATACATCAGACTGTTTGAAGTGAAAGTCCTGTGTGTGTGTACATCTGTCTGTCTTTTCTCTGGCTGCTTTAACGATTTTATTTTTCTTTGTGGATTTCACTATGATGTACTTAGGTGTCTGATTTTCTTTTTATTTGTTCTTTCAAGGGTTTGCTAAGCTTGGATTTCTGGGTTGATTTTTAAAAAATATAATTTGAAAAATAATTTAGCCATCATATATTTGCATATTTAAAAATCATCTGTTCTCTCTTCTCCTTCTGGGATTCTACTTACATGAATGTTAGATCATTTTTTATAGTAGCCTACAGGTAATGAGTCCTTTTCTCTTCACATTTCATTTTACGTAATTTCTACTGATTTGATTTTCTGCTTTACTTTTTCCTTCTTCTGTTGTGGCCAATCTATTATTAAGCTCATAAGATTAACTTTTTATTTCAAATAAATAAATTTTCAGATCCACAATTTGTACTTGTTCTTTTCAATCTTTTTTAGAATTTCCATTTCTTTCCTGATATTATACTTCTCTGTGTATTCTATTTATTTTTTTCCTGTAAATTCTCTAATATGTTTATAACAGTTATTTTTAAATCCAGTATAACAGTAAAATTTAAATGGCCAATTCCAATATATTGGTCTTCTGTGTGTCTACTTCTACTGACTGTTTTTCCCTTGATTATGTATTACATTTTCCTGCTTTTTCATGTCTGTAATTTTTTTATTGTGTGCCAGATATTGCATATAAAAGAGTAGATACTGAAGTATAATTTTTCTTATGTATGTATGTATTGCAGAGAGAAAATGTCTTTCTGTCAGATAAAATTCAGATTTTACTGAGAATTGAATTGAGCTAGGGCTAGGACACAATTTAATTAGATTAAGTTTACTTTTTGTTTCAAATGGTGCCAAGGATACATCTTTGGGCCTTTCATCTGAATCCTGTCCTCCAAGGGGCTGATCTCTCTTATATTGCAGAATTTCACTGGACTATTGAGTTAGGTTGTAACTTCAAACAGACTTGGATCGCTTCTGAATTAAATCCAGCAAAGCTCCAAAGCCCCAAAACCACAAGGTTACATGAACTTCTTTACTTTCCAGCTGCATTTTCTTTGCCACTTAGCAAAATTCCAAAATGGGACAAGTGATTTGTCTTTATGTGTGGGGATTTTCCCAGATTCACAGTATTTTCTACCTTATTACACTTGGTTGATTTCTGTTCATTTTCTCTGTCTCTGGCAGACATGATTCTCTATCCATTTACATTAAGGCAATGTCTTTGCCTTCAGGTAGGGAAGTCACCATTACTTTCTGCTCACCTATGAAGAAAGGGCTCATTATTCTCTGGAATTCAGTTTATCAAGGCTTCCTTATATCTACTGCTCTTTGACAGTTTCATAGTTTAGTTTTTGTTTGTTTTTTCCTTTTTGTTGCAATGGGAATTAGAGGTTTTTTTTATGTACATTTACATACTAACTGGAAATAAAAATGACTCCCCACTCCCTCCATTCCAGAGTGTTATTTTCGCTTAGAAGTCTGCTCTTTGGGTTTCTGCTGTGGGATGAAGGGGGACCTGTGACTCTGGACACTCAGAGATCACTTCCTTCCCATCTGTCAGTCACTCAGTAAAACCCCACACCCCTCCCCAGGAAGAGGCTGCTGCTACCGTGGAGCTAGATGCTATGAAATAGGCTCGGGAATGTGCCCAACTTCTCAGTAATTTTAGAGCATCCACTTTGTACACTTTCAGCTACTTTTTTATACCCAACAGATACATTTACATAAATTTGTAATTCCCTCTTTTGTGATTGAGTTAATTGTTAAATGCCCTTTGGGGGTTTTCTATTTAGAGGAAGCTTGTAGTTAATCCTTTCATAACATGAATGAATAATGAGAGTAACAAGTTGCCTCTTACTCCCATATATCCATCTCCATCCCAGCTGTTAAGCATAACATAAAGGGCTTGGACAATGGAATCAGACAGGTCTGAAATCAAACCCTCTTCCAACCACTTCATGCGTGTGATCTTAACCTCTGCTTGCCTCAGTGTCATCATTTACAAGTTGTTCTTATTGATCTAAATATTTTTCTTCTTACCTACTTAGAGTCTACTCTTCCTTCTGATGTCAGCTGAAAGGTCACTCCACAGGAGAGACTTCCTTGACTAGGTCAAATGTGCCTATTTTACATTCTTAGAATCCAGATACCTCTCACTTGTAGCACTTGCCACAGTAGCTTTATATTTCTATTTGTGCTTATTTGTTTAGCACTTTCTTTCAGTCTATAATACGAGCTCCATGAGGGCAGGGACCATGTATGGCTAGCACAGAGTAGGTGTGTGAGAGATGAATTCTAATGCTCTGAGTAATGACATTGTCTCTGCAGGGTTGTTGTGAGGCCTAAATGTGCTAATGTAAGGGTGTCTTCACTTAGACCTCCCCCAAAAAAGGATTTAGATAAGAAGTTTATTTGGCTGTTGGTACCAGTGAGGACAGTGAAGGAGTGGGAGAATGAGACAATGGAGGGAGTAAAACCAGTAAAGGGTGAGTGTATGAGAGAAGGACCCCTGTGGGTATCTAGGGCTCAGGCTGCTGGGACACTGAGAAACTATGTAGCACATACTTTGGAATCTTCCGACTAAGAGGTGATGAAGCTGGGTTATTTATTCACCAACTCCTAAGCCTCATTGTTTGAGGGTCATTCCTGAAGCTTCATCTTCCAGGCACTTACTTTCCCATCTCCTAGAGAACATCCTCAGGGTGAAAGGTATAGGAAGCCAGAAGCTGTGTATAAGGGTACTACCTGCAGGTGACCTCCAGGGTGGGTGGGGCAACTTTAGTGGCCACTACAAAGTGAAAGCTCTTTGTGTAGTGCCAATGCATATTAAAGCTACTTGCAGAAATTCAGCCCTTCTCCTGGTCTCCTACAGCTTTATTGGTCCCACAGAAGTGGGCACAATATATGCCAGGCCTTCAGAGTAGCCTGCTTCTACCAGGGCCAAAGGCATCAGGAGAGGTGTGCAGGTAAAGTGGCCTGACACCAAGCTCCAGTCTACCCTGGGGCAGCTCATCTCTCAGGCTGAACTTGGGGACAGATGGGGAACACAAGCAGGTCACCTTGGTGTGAATTATCTGGAAGCAGTGGGGCATTGATTCAACACTTGTCTGGGTTACAGTTCCATAGCTTGTAGCTAAGACAAGACCTACTGTTTACCCAGAGCATCCAGCCAGCTCAGCTCAGGTCCTGAACATAGTTGGTATGTAATAAATACCTATTGAACAAACAATGCACCTCAACTGAAGCAGGACTATCATGGTAACACTACACCAATATTTTTACAGGTTAGTAGCAATGAGAATAATTTGTGACAAAAAACCTATCTCACTGAGAGATGAGATGGGATGATTCTAATTCTTAGAATATGAAATTAAAGTTTCTTTATTTTTCACAATGAGATGAGGATTTCTAGAACATTTGTGCTGCCAAATTTTCGTTCTGATTGAGAACACCTTTATCACAAATTCTGGCTGAGCATAGCCTTTTTAGAATGTAGAGAGCTGATTCAGTCTTCCCTCCCAAAGAGGAGTAGATGAGAGAGAAGGGGTGGGGGATGCTCTTTCCTAGCTTTGCAAACTCGAATGTATTTTCATAGCCGTAAGTATGTCTTCACTCATGGAGCATGCGTGTTTCCCCTTGACAGGAAGGAAAGGCAGGTTTCTGTCCTGGTTTGCTCTCTTTCCTTTGGCATCTCTGCCTTTTTACCTCAGTGTGTCTCTGCTTCCCTGCCCATCTCTTTTGGATGATTTTTGGTCACAGTCTGTTTATCTGCCTGTCATTCCTTTTCTGCTTCTCTTTCTTTGGCATTGTTCTTCTTTCCTCACATGTCTTTTGGCATCTGTCTTTATGTCCCTTTCTGTAGTTTATTCATCTCTGTATTTCTGTTCTTCCCTCTCTTACCCAGTTTCTTTCCCTCCCCTTCTTTTCCCTGCTCTTTCTCAATCGCACACAGACCCATACACACAATTTCTTTAAAAAAAAACCCCACAAAAGTATTTTAAATTTTATTAGAGGGGAGGTGGCATATCTTCAATCTGCCAACTTAAAAAAATGCAAAACAAGACAGAATTATTTTGCTAAATTATTTTGCTCCCTCTTCTTGTGGCTTTGGGTGAGGTCCTCTGAGGATCAGTAGAAAAAGGCCTTGCCTGGCAATTTCAGTTTTTGATTTTTTTAGTATCACTCCATTCCAGGCTCTGGATCAAGCTGGCAGAGGTCCCAAAGGAATCTGCCCAGTGGTCAGGGCCTGTGGGGCACATGCTACCAGTTACCTCACATGGGTGAGATTCCCTGAAGACCTCAGACTTCTTACCACCACTCTGTTCTGTAGATTCAGGCACAGACTGGACGTGTTGGTCTGGGTCATGAAAGCTGAGTCAAATGAATTTGTTTCCAAGTAGCTGTTTTACCTCCACCTGCCATTCTGTCTTTAAGTCCACGTTCTAACACCTACTTGCAAGTGGCAGGCAAATTCCTTTACCCCTTGGTGCCTTGTTTTCTCAACTGTAAAATGAAGATGATACTTATGTTGAAGGGCTGTTTTTAGAACCCGATGAGGTGATGGATGTAAAGCACTCAGCAGAGTGCTCACAGCGAAACCACAGGTACAGTAAGGACAGTAATACTGCTCCGTCTACTGCAACAGTCGTTTCAAGTGTTAAATGAAGTGACAGTGGAGAGAGTGCTTTGAAAAAAGGAACAGGAATTACATAATGTTTACTCGTGTTATTAAGAAGATAATTTTAATAGCCAGCATTTATTGAGTACTTACTTAAAAAGCGCTCTGAGGTGGGGATTATCTTTATTTTACAGATGAGGAAATGGAGGTACAAAGATGTGAAATGACAACCAAGTCACACGTATAAGGTAATGAAAAGTGCTTCCCATGTGCCAAGCACCATACTAAGGCCTTTACATGCGTTATCTTACTTAATTTTCACAACTGAATGGGGCAGCTATTATCTCCTTTCCCTTGTTTTTCTTCAGGTGTGAAGACTGAAGCTGAGAGAAGTCAGCTGATTTGGCCCAAGCGCGTGTGGCCAGACGCTAAAACTTGTTCTGGAAACTTCTTGCTGTCTCGCGTCACAGCTCCCAGAGGGTAAAGCTGAGCCCGAGCCCAGGGCTTCCGGGCTGCGTTCTGTCCTCCGACACACGTCCTGCCGGGTGGGCGGGGTGCGCGGGGCCGCGGCTCGTGGTGTCCCGGGCAGTGGGCACCCTCGTTTCCGGGGCGTTCCGCGGGCCCTGGAAGCAGTTCTTGTCTCCCTCGTCCGTTCTCCTGCCCTGCTCCTCTGGCCCCTCCTCCCTCTCTCTCCCTTCCGACTCCCTGGCCACCGCCCTGCTCTGTCCCCTCCCCACGCCACCCCCATTCCCCTCCTCCTCTAACTGGCTTGGCACCTAAAGAGCAGAGCTGCCTGCTGTTACCATGGAAACACCTCCGCCAGTGTTGCAGCCTTTTCCTGGCTCTTAGCTGGCCTGGCACCAACAAGAGAGACCTGATGGAGTGGCCCTAAATTTCCTTCCTCCCCACCTCACAGGGATCCCGCAACCCCCCTGTCCTCTCCAAAGGCCTGAGCCAGCTGCCCCCGGAAATGCTAGGGGCAGAAACCTGAGGGGTCACCAAGAGCTCAAGGGCAGGCTTGGGCGTCGGTTTGGGCAGCCGTGACCTTCACGAGCACCATCCACCCCACCCTCAGAAGACTCTACCAAGCACCTTTGGGCACAATACAGCACAGAAAGCATCACCTCTGGCACCCATTTATGCACGGGGGCTCCCCGAAGCTGACTTGTGCCAGCCACCAGCTAAGTGTCCAGGTGTGGCCATAATTTAGGGGATCTATGCTTGGTATCCATTCTTGCTGGGTGACCAAGAACTTCACCCTGCACCTGTCACATGGTCCACAGGGCCAGGTGGGCTCTCCTGGCTTCTCCTCCAGCCTCCCTGCAGGATGCCCTTTCCGCGGCCTCGCTCCCCTCCAGGCAAACAGTTTCAGCTTGGGCATGTTCTCTCGTCCGCTGAGCCATCCTCCATTTTCTCACCATGGAACGCAAGCTCAGAGGACCTAGGGCACTTTCCCCTTCCTTCCTCTCACCCTTGAGTCCTCTGTGGCTTCATTATTTTCGTTTTAATTAAGAGAACATTTTTAAATCACCAATTATGTGCAAAAATGCAGCAGACTGGTTGGTATAAAGCCCATCTTTACAACCACATGGATCACTATTTTGGAAAGCAGATAGCTTGGATTATCCTCTCCTTTGCCTGTTCCATCAAAATGGAGATTGCCTGGTCTATTCCCTTGCCCCGGGGACTGTCTGTGTTAGCCAGCTTTTGCTGTGGCAACAATCTCCACTGCCTCCTGCCAAATCTCAGTGGCTTACTAGAGCAAGCGCTTACTTCCTGCTCACATTGCGCAAAGGCTGCTGGTCAGCAGTTGCGATGTTGGCTTCTTTCAGCTCTTCTGATCTTGGCTCAATTCCATGGGCCTTCTCTTATTCTGGGACCCTGGTTGAACGGGCAGTCCCCATCTGCAGCATGCTGTTCTCCTGGTAGAGGGCAGAAGCTCAAGGGAGAAGGAGGTAAACCAGCAAGTCCGTCAAAATGTTCTGCTCAGGTGTGGGGTAAGTCAGATCTGGTGGTACACCAGTAGACGTGTCACATAGCTCAGCCTCAAGTCGAAAGGGCAGTAAGAAGGGCTGCCTATGGGGACATATGACAAGGACAGGGAGGGGACAGTTATGAACAAAGAATAGGAGCAATGTCTAAACAATCCCAGACCAGAGTTAGCCTTTTGCCAGGACTTTACTATTTCCACTATTATCCACATCTTTCAGGTGATAGAACTGAGGCACAGAGCAGATAGAAGGAAGCTAGACAGATGGTTTGTCCACAGTCACACAGCTCACTAATGGCAGAGCGGGATTTGAATTCAGGCACCTCAGCTGAAATGCTCTTAACTATTGTTCCGTGATGTCTCTTAGCTTAGTTGGTGGCCAATGGCCAGACAGAGGTGGTAAAAAGCTTTTGACTGTGGATATGATGCTAATTCTAGTTTTTTGGGCTAAAAGAACATTTGGGGAATAACCTGGGATTCAAATCTATTTGGACATAAAATAAAGAAGCTACTTGGGACAAGAGCAAGAAGCAGAATCTATGGGACAGTCGCTAGTCTATTCAAGTGGAGTGTGGTCTCAGATGGGAGGCGAGTGGACTTCTGGCGTGGATGGTCACTCTTTGATTCTTCTCCATTCAGAAGCTCTCAGCCTCGCTGTTTAGTTAGACCAGCTTCTCTTTGGAAGGCAGGTCTATGGGATTCCAATGTCTGGCCATACTGTGATTATTCTGTCCACTTTGCCTATGAAGGTGGTAGGATGGAAACTTCTCTGGGAAGCACTGCACTGCCTTTCCCACACAGGTGAGAACATTGACATCCCAAGAGATTTATCTTCAATATCTGTAGCAAAGGAGAGAGCTGGTAACATTGCAGGCAACACTGCAGCCAATAGAGTTATCCATCATCTTCTTCCATTACACCAAGAGCTTACCACGGACTCACAGTCCCAGCAACTGATAAGAATGGCAGCAAACATCTACCTGAGTCGGGGCCTCTAACTGGACCTTATCTAGTGTAGGTTAGCTCACACTCCCATGCCCCTTGGGGCCTTTTATAGGGTCATTTGTTGTACTCTGGTTATCCCAGTCTTGTTGACAGCAAAGCTCTTAACTCACTGTCATCAACTCATGAATTGTCTTTTGCTTCTTGTTCTGCATCTGTGTCTACTCAACCCCTGGCCCCTTCACTTCAACTCTCAAACCCCACATTCAAGAGGTGAAGGCTGCTTGGGGTTTTATTTGACTTGATTCATGGATGTGGTTTTGGAATCACCTTCTGGATTTAGGCCCAAGCATCAGCTTACTTGGCCAGAGCCCCTGGGCTGGGCTTGAATCCTTGTGGGCCAAATACTGTTCCACCCTGAGTCAGGTACCCTCCTTGGATTTCACCAAGGTCTCTTCTGGGTCATTGATAACCTGGGGAACAGGGCCTGTGCTTCATGTCAGTCAATGTGGAAACAGCACTAGGTTAAATTTGCTTGTTTCTTATTCCAGACTCCTCATCTTTGATCTCGGAGGAGAGTGTTGCTGTCTATCTTCACTCCCACCTCCAGACTGAGAACAGGACTTGTTCCGAAGGAATCATCTACATGTTTTCTGGGGAAGGTATGTCTGTGCTCCTTGCTCAGTATACCCATTTGTGAAAAGGTTAGTCCATACCTGCTCCTGCACCCCCACCTGTCTAGCCCTTGAGCCAGTGAGAACCCAGCCTGGAAAGCCATCAGGAGCCCCTTCCCGCAAGTCTGTAGGACTTCAATCACCAGTTGCTCTTAGACACCTGGTGCTCTGGGTGCTCAGGAGAGCATCAGACGGCGGGCTCAGCATTCTGTACCTTGAGTCTAACTGCCCTCTGCCCAGCTCCCTGGTTCCTGATTTTACCCTGTGGTGGTGTTCAGACCTCTTATGTTTATATTATGTACCTTATATCTCATGTTTAATACACCATCTCTCTGGCCTATATATTGCTTCTGTCACCCATCACACTTCTCAGGTGGCCCTTTCAGATCAACAACTTAGCTTCCTGTCAGATGCCAGAAAATATTGCCAACTAGAAAACCCATCCAGACCCCTTGGTTATGATATTACATGAACCAGCTTACATCTGACTGTACCTCCTGGATTTAAGGGTTTGGGCTGCTAACCTCTTTCTTCAGGGAGCCAGCTCTCTTGTCTTGGGTGATTTCTCCAAGAAAAGTATCTGCAAGCTTTTCTGTCTGCCCCAGGGGCTTTTGGAATTCCTCATGGCTCCGCCAAGACATATAGTTATATCATCTCCTAAAATGGGGCCCTTCTTGGATGATTAAATTGTCAGTTTGAGCAAGAATGAGACATCAAGTTTTACCCAAAAGATTGTCCAAAATGAACATGATTAACAATGCTTAGAAAAGGTGTAGGGAAACATATACTCTTAGTGTTTGTGGGAATGTATATTAGCACACCTTTTTACTCTTTTGGAGGGCAGCTTGAAAATGCATATTAAAAATTTTACCTCAACAATTTCCCTTCTAAGAATTATGAGGAGTTAATTAGAAAAATTTTCAAAAACATGTACATAAGAGAATGCTCCTTTCACTGATGTTTCTGATAGCAGAAAAATAGGTAGGATTTGTTAAATAATTTATGTGACATCCATACAAAGGAATGCAGTGCAGCTGTTAAAGAGCTTGTTACAGAGCCACATGCATTGATATGGAAAGATGTCCACATCATATTGATGAGTAAAGAAGTAATTTACCCAACAGCTTGTCTAAGATACCCTGGAAAATGGATTTCGTATCTCTCTCTATATATATGCTTGAGGAGCTCACAGTCTAATGAGAATGATAGACACATACAAAAAGCCAATTATGGAATTGTATGGTATATGGGTCACAGGGAGGAGCATCTAAGGGACCTAAGGAAGCCTTCCCAAATAGAGTGATAACTAAGCTGGGAACGGAAGGAGGAGTAGAGGGGTTGGCAGGGGAAGATGCAGATATCCAAGTGGAGGTGTCCAGGAAATGGTTGGCTTTATGGACCTCAAATCATAGCCATGAGCTAGACCTCCACTCTAACCGCTAAGATCACTGGGCATACGATTAAGAAGACGCAGAAAACATCCTTGAAATGAGTCCCATACATAGACCATAGGCAACAGGTATATCTGGATGGGAGCCTTGAACTTTGGCCCTATGCCCATTGTCTGAGGCAGAGAGAGGCTCTATCTTCTTGAAGTGACTTTCCAAGTTTCCCTTCTCTTGCTTGCCCTGTTGTGCCCTACAGCAAAATGACACTTAGTCACACAATCCATTCCATAGTTAAACTTGCACTTTATTAAAATTGCTCTGAATAACTCTGGGAGGAAAATTGTATCCATCTCCATTCATCTTTAGTGGCTTTTACACCTCACTCGACACAACTGTCTCCTTTGATTAAATCTCCATTAGGGCTCTGTTCCATATTCAGCAGCTCTATAAGCCAATTAACCCACCGTTCCACAGGTTAGGACAAAGAGCAGTGCTTCTTCAGAGGGAGAGAGAGAAGAAAGAGGAAGGGAGGGAGGAAGAGTGAGACAGGAAAGAGAAACTTATCTCTCCTGATAGGGCTACAGTCAATCAGTGTTTATCATCATGCTCTCATTTTTCCCATTTATCTAAAGGAAATGGCAGGGACACAGCCAGCAAGATGCAAAGTCAGGCCCGGGGAGTTGGAGGTTGGCTGATGCATTATACTAGACTCCGTAGAGGGGACGCCGATTTCCTGAACTGAAGGGTGCTTAGGAGTGTCCACACACCTCCCAATCCCTTCCTGTTCTTGCTCAGCCAGAATCCCAAGGGCACTGAAGCCTAGGCTCAACCCCTCAGTCCCTGCCCAGGTTTGCATGTCAGAAGCCCGTCTCCACTAACCTAAGTCGGTCTAGTCCCATCGCCTAGGCTGTGGGACTGGAGGTGGGGGCCTGGGTGTCCACAAGTCACCGAGTTACTACCTGTCCATGAACTATCTCACTCCTCCCCCCCTTACTGGAGCAGAGCATAGGACTGGCTTCTGCCTGGAGACTTCGAGGGCTGGAGCCCCTTCAAGTCTCTGATTCCCAGACTGGTTGTCAAGGACCCTTCCCCCTACCTGGTTCTGCTAGTTTCCTTCCCTGGGAAATGGACCCAGTTCCCTGCTCCTGGCCGTGGGATGGAGTGCAGCCCTGAAGAGACAGTATCTGTCCACACTTTGGTATTACCTGAAGCTGGAGAAACCGGCTGATTCTCAGTATCCCACTGTCTGCATGAGCACCACTTATTTGGGACCCTAAATGCCTTGACAACCTGGATCATGGCTGGGCTGAGTGAAATGACCTTGAACAAGAACTTGTGTCATATCTTGTGCTGAGGCCAAATGCTCATGATTAAGATGAGATGACTCAGAGTCAAAAGACAGGTCGGATCAGAGGTCAGTCTGAGCCCAGGATGAGAGAACAAGCTGATTCAGACCTGAGTCCATCCAGCTGCTTGGAAGGGATCCGCCAGCTCCAAGCTCTGCCTGCCTCACATCAGGGATGATAGCATATGACTCTGTCTAGCAGGCTGTCCAGAGCTCTCTGTCTTTCAGTAAGTGGTACTGCGAAGACACTTTTAGCTATTTTTTTTTTATAAAGGTGAGGTTTTAAGGGAGCCAAAGGCCTGAAGGTATCCCTGGGCTGGGTATTGGGTGTGGCATGGGCATCTGGAGGTCTTCAACCTGGTCCTCTGACTCCATGGTGTAAACCCACCAAGTGTTCCTAGCCCACCAGGAACTCTTCTCCCAGGGCTACCCAGCCTTTCTGCAGGCCCTGCATTGATTCATTCAGACCTGCCTGCAGAGGCAGGGCTCTGATCCTGGTTTCCACTCTGGATCAGGGCTCTTCACACACTGAACTTGTTTGCCATTGAGGACTTGTGGGTGAACCTTTCCTTGGGGCTTGGGCGTTTGTGCCCCTTCACTGGGACAGCACAGAGGAACCCCTCTTTCAGCATGAGCTCTTCCCCCCACTTCAGACCTGATGGATTCTAGATACTGCACACCAGACCCCCAAGGCTCAAGTCAACCTTGTTCTGGATCCCTTTCTGTCTGCTGCAGCTGCCATGAAACCAATGAGTTCAGAGGCAGCATTGGTGTAAGTACAGCTTTTGGAATGAAGGAGGTGACTCTCCTTGCTGAATCTTGACGCTGATGGGCTTGGCTGTCATAAGTACATTCCTCTTCAGCTCCACTGCACAGCGACCGTGTGAACCTGGACAAGTTCCTTCATTCCTCGAGCCTCAGTATTCTTAGCTATGAAATGGGAAGAAGCTATATCAACTTCACAGAGTTGTAGTGAGGGTCAAACAAGGTCATACACAGTATCTGGCCCTCAGTAAGTATTTGATAAATGATAGCCACTCTAGTGGGGATGGTAGAATGACTCAAAAATGTTTCTATTAGAAATGTTGGGGAGGACTGGAATGATCAGCCTAGAAAAGTCAAGGTGAGCATGGTAGGAATCTTAAATACTGGGACTGTGCTCAGAGGCAGGGATTAGAATCAGTGGAGTGCCTGGTATAGATGACATCCAGAAAGGATCACTTTTTAACAACCCTCTCTTCCACACAACAAAATTATTTTCAGTAATAAGCATAAAATGAAACAAATAATAACAATGATCACAAAGGAAATGCAGAGAATGAACATTTTCTTTTATTAAACTTCATATATATATAATCAGACTGGTAAAAAAATACAACAGATGCATATTACAGAATAAAAAAGGAAAAAAGTAATGTATTGATATTTTTTATTATGTTGGTGTAGCTTTTGAGAAAAGGGAAAACACATACATACATAGGCTGTTGCAGTAATAAATAATAACATTACAGTTTTATTTTCCTGATTAATTCTTTAGTTCAAAAACAATTAAATAAAAGAGAAGGATGAATTTCAATTTTAAAGACATTATTCAAATCCAATACAGATGAACTAAAAATTGCACTTCGCAAACAATAAATATTGCACCTTGCAGTTTTCACTTGGATTCACTGTTAAATTTTAAATGCAAATACAACTTCAAATGGTCATGTAGAATGTCAGAATCGAAGTAGCTCACTTTTCTTTTCTTTTTTTGTCTTTACCATCATTGTGCTTATTTGTAAAATTGTACCATTTAAACACAGGAATATGTAGTGTCTCAGGGGTTGGAAACATGAACTGTGCTTGAAGCAAGTTGAATTGAGACCAAACCTTAAGAATTTACTCTTGAAGTGAACACAAGTAGTTGAGTCTGTGTGTACTGGGGGCCAGTTTTGTAACTGAGATTTCTCCAAATGAGTGTCCATGTAGATCACAATGTTTATTAAAGGAAAAGTAACTAAAATGTGCTAAATGGAAGCTAATTACCTATGAATCATTATTATTAAAATCTAACAGTAACTCTAACAATTATTTAGAGATTGACCAACAAAAGCTTTTGTCAAGGAATATTTTACAAGGCAATAGGATTGCCAGTGAATGGTGGTCATAAAAGGCAGACCCACTTTCAGTCAGTTTTATTATTGTTATTAGGTTCTCTACAGACAGTGTTCCCTCTTCCTGTCTGTACCTGGCAGGGGGCATAC